GAGGCAAGAGATGAACACAGGTGTTTTGACTTTGCCTTCCTCTGCATAGCAACCCCAGTCATCCTTGGATGTTTCCCATCAAAGTACTGATCATGGACAACCCTGCTTAATCTCTGACAATCCCAGGTAAAGACGGGCTATTTGGACTGCTCACATGTTCAGGGAAGGTGTTAAATTACACCTGTCCATAGCTACAGTGACATAATCATGTGATGATTTCACATAATCTTTGTTGTGGTCCTCAGCGGAGAAGAGTATGTTAACAAGGCTTTTGGTTTGTGTGGCATATAACTGTTGAAATGCATACTAAGGGAGACTGGAAGTTACTGGGGTCTGAGACTACACAAGGGGTTGGATTTTGTCATTAGAATTCAATACCAGGCAAAGTTAGTTCAGGATGAGCCCACTGAAATCACTGATGATGATTTAGTTGCTTATTATCCAAGTGATACACAGTATTTTGGATCAGTGAATAAGTGAGCTTGGGTCAGAAATATAATGTGCTCTCCTCAAAGACAAACAAATTGGGTAAATGTGTGCCTTCATACTGGAGGGGGGGGGAGTGAACAGCTTTCATAGAACTAAATAAAACATTTAAACTCCAACAATATTCACAAAAGGGCATGTCATTGTTACAGACTGACCAATGAGAAGGTTCAACATTTTAAAGAGCTGGATGAGTTGCACTAAATGGTTAAAAATAAGACAGAAGGAATGGAACTCGCTGGTTCACCAGTTTACGTTCTGGATTAATGGTACCATGATAAAACTCGTTAGAGGTTCTAAAATAAAGTAAATGTTGTGGCAAGCATTTATAGCACAAGCTTAAGTAGGTTTACTCAAAAGTAAGTCTCCTATACTCAGTTGAGATTACTCCAAGGGAAATGTGCACAGGATTGCACTGTTAGTCCTTAAGGTAGCCAAATAAAATAAGGAAAACCCTAAGTCTAGAGTTGTAGACAGACTCTTAGTGCCTCATAGATGAATTCTCAAAATATGTATGGAAGAAATTCATGATTTTGAAAGACTGATGGGTAGTACAAGGGTAAAATAACCTGGAAAGAAGGGGGAAAGCTCATTAATATGTGGTCAGAATTTTTCCTTTGCCTTCTATTCATTCTATTTTATTTAAAATATTTATGTTCCCCTGCCTTTCCTCTTGGCTCATGGAGGCTAACAAATGGGTATAACAGTCTCCAGTCAGTAAAGATATTCTCTCCTACACTACAGTGGCAAGGGATAATGGAAGAAATAAGACTTTTTTCCTCTTTGAACAACCTTTTTTCTTGCGCCAGTAATCCAGTAATTTTGCTTAAATAAAGACCACTTCACATGACACAGTGAATTATGGCACATGTTTTTAAAAACATTTATGTTCTTATCTGGGAGGTTATCTAAGTGCCTTTCTTTCACTTTGTGCACACAGCAGACACAGAGTTAAAGCCAGCTGTGGCTCTCTGTGGAATATAGCTGACATAAAAAGAAAGGTTAGTTGCCTCTTACAGGGAATAAGCAGATATGCCGGGGTTGTTAGTTCCTGGCACATGTCTCAAACAGCACAACACTAGAGCATTTTGCTTAGTCTACAAAACTGGTTCTCCATCCATGGGACTGAAGCAAAACATCTGAGACACTGGTAGAGCTGCTCCCACCACATCTGTTAAGTATAACCCTTCTCTCTCCACAAGGCTTTGTTTGCTGATACTCAAACGGACAACTCTGTCAGGCACACTGGGATGAGAGAGAGTGATGGGTTCAAGGTCACCAGTGAGCTCCATATCTGAGTGGGAATTTGAACCTGAATCTTTCCAGTCCTAGTCTAGCACACAAACTATTGAACCATACATTCTTCCACTATGGTTGTTTTGCATGTGTAGCTTAAATCACAAATGTGATCTGAAGCTAACCAAGTTACACTCAGTCAGATTCAATAATGAAACCTAATATTAAAGTTAGCAGCCTCAGGATCCATTTGGTAGATCCTACCTTTCAACAAGAGCTGAGGCTAAGGGAACATTTAATCTCTCCCAGCCTAAGGATTTGTGCTACTGTACATGATGACATGTCATTGTGATACTTTACCTGTATTTCTTTCATAAAAGTTACCTGGCGGTGGCTTGAAAAACATTTTGCCGTAGGCTAAATATGTCTCTGACATTGACTTAAATATATTACAATATCTACTGGGATTATTTTTCCTACTGGAATTTAAGACCCTTGTGCTCTTTCTTACCAAAAATATGTTTTGGAACTGGAAATATACACACACACATTGCAACATATGTACAGATGTCTCATTGAGGTTATTACAGACTATGCAGAATATCAAGCACACAACTTGAGACATACACAGTTTTGTGGCAACTTTCTTATTGCAAAATAAAACAGAAGTCCCACAGTTTAACACAATTAAAGACTGGCATTATTATTTGTAGCACAAGCTGTCACAATCAAGTGACCTCTAACTCATGATGGAATTAATTTTGTTAGTCTTCAAGGCGCCACTGAACTCCCGCTTTACTTTGCTGTAACAGACTAACATGGCCACCACTCTGGAATTATTGACATTGTGGAATCATTCTAATAATCTTGCTGCTCTGAACAAGATTAGTCACTAATGATGGATATTTCTGTGAGTGAGTATTGCTGCCTCCAGAGGAAGAATGACATGCTGTAAAAGTCTGAGGATGGAATCAGAGTAAGGCAGTTCTCTCAGAAATATGAGAGAATTTATTCCCATTTACATCACCAGGACCGAAATGAAAACATATGTCCTTTTCCCAGCTGAAGCAGGACTCCAAACCCTACTTACGAGACAGAAATACCCCTAGAAAGTTTTATCTAAAATGTCTAACTTTGCAGCTACCTAATTAGTTAGTATCTCAGGATGTGGGAGGATTATTTAGGCAGTTTTCACACCCTCACAAAATGAAATATTATTTTATAAAAGTGCTTACAGGAGTCTCCAGTTGTTTCGGTGTGGGGGAAAGAGGGGAAACAAGAAAAAAAACCCAGCAACTGAGTCTGCTATAAGCAAAAGGACCAGTGCAAAACTGTGAAAATACTACTTGACTGACTACAGGTATGGTGTATTCCCACAAGATCAAAAATTTAAAAATAAGAGTAGTGGTTTCTCAAACAAACCCCTAGAGCTCTGGTTTCTGAGACAACAGGAATCTCTTATATTTTAAAAATTGTGCGTGGTAATAGACAGCCATCTTAAACAAGCAAATCTGGCATCCTTTCCCATCTCAGTTGGAATTCAAAATAATTGAGGTGATACCCTTTTTGCTGACAGGAACAAGAAACATTTCACAGAAAACTTTACCAACCAGAATGAAGAATGCTGTCTCTCTCCAAAGACTACAAATTCTTACACCAACAGTATTCAGTACTTTTTGCACCACAGAACCAGCTAGCAAAATATCTTAATTTAGGAGGAGAGTCAGTCATTGTATTGTGATTCAGGAAACACTGTTGCTGTCTGAAGTAATTTGAAGATACAGTCATCTTTCTCAGTCACAATTAAAAGGGATTCAGTGCAATCTTAAACAAAGTTAGACCCTTCTAAGTCCACTGAAGGCAATGGGCTTGGAATGATATAACTCTAATTGGGAACACACGGTCAGTGAATCTAATGTAACCTGAGGTATGACTATATATAAGACATTTTTTAAAAAAGTCTACCTTCACAGAATCCTCTCATAGCAGCTTATATATGGATATATACATGTCTGCCACATATCCTCTATGTATTTGCATAGTACACTGGCCTACATTATAGGGTACATAGGGTGCTTACAGGCATCAGATGTTTGCACAAACTGCAGGTGTCACCTAGATCATCCAGAACACCTTCCTATAGAAGTGTAGTGCAAGATTGGTACTGGTGGGCAAGCTATCTTGCAGGAAAGCTTGTAAACTATTCTCCTAATCGAAGACCAGCTGATAAGCTCTGAAGGAACAACAGTGTTCCTCAACACAGATGAAAACCACACACATCTAAAGCTTTCCCAATGGCTGGTTATCGAAGCACTTCTTGAAAAACTTCCAAGAAAAAGGATACTACATTCTTCCATAATGCCAAAGCGGTTGCTTCTTATTTCACAAGAACCCTCTCAGATCCATAAAACTTTGTAGCTTTTCTTTTTAAAGTACAAAAAAACCCCACAACCATGGTTTTTAAGCTTGTGGATATTTAGCAGTGTAGGACTGATATTGGATTTGAAACTGCAATCCCACAACTCAAAGTGACCACTGCACAAAACTCATGCAGTGTGTTCGCTACTCTTAAGAAAGTCCCATTTACCCTAATGTGACATACTTCCTAGTGATAATAATAAAGAGATTGGATTTATACCACGCCCTTCACTCGGAGTCTCAGAGCAGCTTACAAACGCCTTTCCCTTCCCCACAACAGACACCCTGTGAGGTAGGTGGAGCTGAGAGAGGGAAGGGAGAACTGCCCTTGAGAGAACAGCTCTGGCAGAACTATGGCTTGCCCAAGGTCATCCAGCAGCTGCGAGTGGAGGAGTGGGGAATCAAACCTGGTTCTCCCAGATTAGAGTCCGTGCACTTAACCACTACAACAAACTGGATACCTTAATGGGGCCCACTTTTTGGTAAGGACGCTTAGGATTGTAGCCTTGGCCAGGTCTGGTCACTTGGGTGCTAAAAAAAAGTTTGGCACTGGAAGTTTGGCACCAAAACTGTTGGCACTGCCTCCCAAAATATTTATTCCTATTATCGTGTCCTTGTGTTTTCCTCTCTCCAGCCTTGCTTTCTCTCAGGAGACCCCACATTTCCTGGGCTGGTGTGATGTACTCTTGCCAACTAGCCTGCCTATGGTGGGGTAGGAAGGGATGTGCCGTATATCATGAAGACAGCTCAGTGCAAATGCGGCTCTGGTGCTGTACGACGAACGAGCCCAGGAGGACACACGGAGACTGGACACACTGGACGGGACACTGGGGTGGGGGGAAATAAGCGATTCCTCCTACCCGGAAGGCTCCCTCACTGAGTCTGCTGTGTACCTGCTCTGCTCCTCCATGCTTCGGTTCTCTGCCGCCCGCCACTCGGGCGTGGTGCTGGCGCACAGCACCACCATGGACACAATGACAAAGACGACGGAGACGGTGGCCAGGATCTGGGCGGCTACGGAGGAGGTGGGCTCCTCGAATGTCCTCCTCATCCGCTCCAGCCACTTCTTCTCCTCGCCGCCAGGCGGGGGCGCTGCGTGGCTGCTGCCCTGGTCGGCGCCTTCGCCTCGGCCGGGCGGGTGGTGGCAACTGCTCTTGCTGCTGCTGGTGCTGCTGCCGGTGCTCCAGCCGCCCGCCGGCTCCGCCTGGAGGTCTTCCGCCGAGTAGAAGGTGTAGGTGTCGGACATGCGGTCGTCGAGGCGGCGCTGGCAGCAGTAGTCGAGGTGAGAGCACTCGAGGCCCCAGTAGATCATCTCGTTGTAGAAGGAGAGCTCGCACATGTGGGGCACGAAGCGCAGGTGCCCATAGCGCACGTAGAGCATGATGAAGCCGAAGGCCTCCGCGTGCCGGTCGAAGAAGTACTCGTTCCGCTCGCGGTCGTAGTCGTCGCAGACCTCCAGCACGTCCTGCTCCGACAGGCAGCCGTGCAGGCGGCTCACGCGCCGCAGGGGAAAGTCCTTCAGCACCTCCCGCGCGAAAGAGTAGCGCGTCCCCCCCACGTTCAGCACCACCACCGACGGGCCCCCCCGGCCAAAGTTCATGGCTTGGGGGGGCGGGCGAGGGGCGGAGAAGAAGGGCGCGAGCGGGAAGGGCCGGGGTAGGGCCGGAGGGCTGCCGCCGGGCTCCTCCTCAGGCTCCGACTGGCCCCTCCTGGCCCGGGAAGTCGAAGACGGCGGCTCCCTCCGGCCAGCTCGCCCGGAAGGGCGGGGACGGTCCCCGCCGGAGGGCCCACCGCGTGCCGTGCGCCCCCTCGAACCGCCGGAGTCTTCGGGCGCCCGAGCGGCGGCTTCACCTCCGCAGGGCTCCAGGCGACGCGGAGCGCTTGCAGGGCGCAGGTCCGGGAGCCTCCGGCTGGGGAGAGGCGCCGCTTCTTGGGCTGCCCGCGCCAGGCGGGAGGAGCGGGGCAGGTGCGCGGGGCATGGTGAGGCGAGGCAAAGTCCCGACAAGTTTTGGAGAGCTGCGGGCGCCCGGCCGTCGCTTGCGCGGCGCCGCTCCGCTGTCTGTGCCGGGAGCCTCTGGCACCGCCGCTCGGCGGCTGGGAGAGATGCGGCGAAGGCTCCTCGGAGGGCAGAGGCGGCGGCGAAGGGACACGCCTCCTCCCTTCCCTCCCCTCCCGGCCTCCGAGCGAGCGGAGTTGCCTGCGCTGAAGGGGAAAAGAGGAGCGCCCGAGTGGAGCTTCCTTACTTGCTTGCTCAGACCCTCTGCTCTGTATGTACCACCAAGCAGTGCGATTTAGACAGTGCGAAGAACCGAAAGTTTGGGTTGGTGTCCCCCCCCCCCCTTCCCACCCCAAGGCCAAGCCCCTGCCCCTCCCTTCCTGTCCAAGCCTATTAACAGAGTGAAAGAGGTGGCCTCGGCCAGCGTCTCAGGGTGAGAGATCGGGAACTCTTCTGCCGGCCAAGCCTGCAGGGTTTTAGTGCGAGTCGGCTGACTTAAGGGGCTTGGTCATTACACCCTTGATACCATTTCCTTCCTCTTCTGCCTATAGTGGAACTGGGTCGGATTCAGCAGGGGGGAAGGGGCATCCCCTGGGGCTTCTGGCAGAGAGGGCCCCGATTCTGTCCACATTCGCGGATGGAGGCGCCTGTTAAAATCTTTGATTTTTCTAGCAGCGCAAAGATTGAGGAAATGTCATCAATAAGGAGGAGTTGCCTGTTCAAAGCATCTGGGAGCAAGATGTGTTTGTATACACTGTGGTTTCATGTTCATATTTCACCCGAAGTGCATGCAGTCAAATGGGGAGTGGAGTCACACCTCCTCATCCTCCCTCCCTCCCCCCCCCACTCTGTCACACACACACAAACGCACACACATATTCATTATTTCTGATTTTTATTTTCATTCTTGGATGCCTCTTCCTCCTTTTCAGCATACCCCAGAAATGTATCTTAGAGAACAGGCAAAATCTTCAATATATTTTATAACTGCACCTGGTAGGGAGAGAAAAGAAGTTCAGAAGTCTTGCTTTCTAACTTGTCTTTTTATTTATAGGCATTGAGGCATCCTATCTTGGAGGCTTTTGTAAAAAAAAATATACTTGCGGACTTTTTTGCCTATCTCATCTTTACCATCAGTTCCATTTTAATACCGTTGTGTACTGTAAATTATAACAGTGCCTGTACTGATGATTAATCTGTGTGGTTTCTCTGTCAAGGTAGGTAACTTGTTTTGAACAATATCACTTGCCATTTTACATCTAGAAACTGTGCTTGAGAGCTACTGTGATATAGTGGATAGCATGTTGGATGGAGACTCAGGGTTGGATTATCTACACACTGGGTGGATATCGTGGGTGTGTGCTCACTGCATGGAGCTCCTGGCTCTCAGGGAGCAGGTTCGTTCCCTTGAGGCTAGGGTTGCCGACTTGGAGAAGCTGAGGCAGAGAGAGAGGTTTGGGGAGGAGACCCTCAGGAACTTACCAGAACAGTCCCACTCCTGTGCTGACAGCTCTTCTGCTGTTGCAGAGAGTGAGAGTCTCGAGGTCAGAGGGCATCAGTCTGAGGAGGAGGGATGTGAGCCCTTAGAAGGGACTCCTTCTTTGGATGATGGACCGATATCCTCTGGTGGTGCTCATGTACTAAAAATTGGAACAATACCCTCTTGTACCGAGGATACCCCTGGGGGGCCGGGGGGGGGGGGGGGGGCTATGCGAGCCCTTAGAAGGGACTCCTTCTTTGGATGATGGACCGATATCCTCTGGTGGTGCTCATGTACTAAAAATTGGAACAATACCCTCTTGTACCGAGGATACCCCTGGGGGGCCGGGGGGGGGAGGTGGGCTTCTGGTAGTGGGTGATTTGATCATTAGGAATATAGAGAGAGGGGTCTGTGACAGGCATTTTGTCTGCATGGTAAATTGCCTACCTGGTGTGAAGGTTGCGGACATCACATGCTGTCTAGATAGGTTGATAGATAGTGCTGGGGAGGAGTCAGAAGTCCCAGTACGTGGCACCAATGACATTGGGAAATGTAGTTGTGTGGTCCTAGAGAAAAAATTAGGTTACTAGGCAGAAAGTTAAAGGCCAAGACCTCAAAGATAGGATTCTCAGAAGTGTTGCCAGTTCCACTGTAGGGCAGGCCTATAGCTAGGTGGGGGCAAGGGGGGCTACACACCCACAGATGTGCCCAGCACCCTTTGGAAGCATGTCAGACCCCCCTGGTCTGGGCAGGAGCCCTCCAAGCAGAAGGGGAGGGAGAGGGGCGGCCTCCACCTGGCCTCACCAAGTCTTCCTGTTTCCGCAGCCAGTTTCTCAAAGCCCATCTCCCTCCCCTCCTGCTTGGCCACAGCTGGAAGCACGAAGACCCTCTCACCTAGAGAGTTTTTTTCAGGGGGAAATGGAAATTTTCGGAAAAATTGAAAAAAATGCTACATTAGCATTTCTTGTGTCTTTTCTAGATTGAAAGTCATTCTGTTACTTTAGGAACATAAAATATGACTATGGACATTTTTACTTGGCATGAAATTATCTCAACTAGCATATTAAAAATATAGTGTATCCAAACAATTATTACAAACAGAATACCCACCCACATGCCAACAAAACTGAAACCTTTTTATTTTCTTCTGACAATAGCACCTCCTAAAGGAAGAAATGCCTCTTGTTCTTGCATTGGAGAGTTCAGTTTGTAACCTAGGACTTGCGTGTCCTCAGTGCACAGAAATTAGATCAATCTGATGCCATATATATATATATATATTAGAAATGGTTTGGAAAATATTTGAACACCTTGTCTTAAAATATTTTATTTATCATGTTAAAATAAAATGTTCCGTAATCAATTTTTTTTCTTTTCTTTTTTCAATTTTTCCATTTTTTGGGGGGGGGGAAGGCTTCAGGGAAAAAACGGGAAAAAACTTTTTTTCTGATTTTTTCCGTTTTTTTCCCGGGCCTTCACATCTCTACTCTCACCTCCACCTAGCTATGAGCGTGCTTGAATAGCACACAATCTCTTCCCTTGCCTCAGAATGTATTCCCTGGCAGGCAACCTGCCGCTGATGCAGGGTGCCCTTAAGGAAGGCCCGGACTCCCGGCCCAGCTCCTCCCCCAGGGCGGTCTCCCAGCATCACTTCCTGGTTGAGACACTTTCCAAGGGCATGGCTTCACCATCCATCTGCCATTCCTCGAAGGCTGAGGCGCTTTCCAAGGATGCCACTTTGCCATCTGCCTGCCCTTCCTTGAAGACTGTCCGCAGGGCAGACCTGCCGAGAAGAGCTATTGTGTCGTGGGTATACACAACAAGAGCCCACTAGACTGTAGTGCATTTCATCCAGAGCGAAAGTGGACTTTTTTCACCTCTGCTGGCTGTGGGCTCTCTCTCTTAATTAGATCACCAATAATCAGACCAGTCACTAATCTATTTAGCAGTGATTTAATTAATATCCGGTTTAAACTGTGCTGCAGAAGACGCCACCAGCCCCAGGACCGGCTGTGATGCTGGGAGCAGATTGCTCCCCACCACCACCACTGGTTTTGCCCTGGCTTCTCCTGTAGCCTGGTTTAAACCAGATGGCAAGAGAAGCAAGCCCAGCCAGGATCTCCTGTGCCGCGCACAGCAAAGCAGCTCCTGGGGTTCACTTCTCCTGCAGCCCAGTTTAAATCGGACTGCAGGAGAAGCAAGCCCAGCTGGGATTGGCTGTGCTCATGGGGGAGCAGATTGTTCCCCGCCAGCTCAGCTTTGTGCTGGCTTCTCCCGCAGCCCAGTTTAAACCAGGCTGCAGGAGAAGCCAAGCAAGCCTCAGGATTGGGCTGACTTTTTTCTCAGGACTATTGGACCAGGGGAAAAAATCAGGATTTCTGAAAAATCCTGGATCCAAATACCGTACTGGTATTTTTCGGAAATCCTGAATGTGGTTTGGGTCCAATAGACCCTAACCAAACAATACCAATTAAAAAAAATATTGCACAGCCCTAGGAAGTATCTCAGAAACATGGTGGAATGAAGAAAATCCATGGGATACAGTCATTCTTGGGTATAAATTTTATAGGAAGGATAGGGAGGGATGGGTTGGTGGTAGTGTTGTGTTGTACATCAAAGATGGCATAGAATTGAATAAATTAGAAAACATCAGGGGAATTAACTCCCCAACAGAACTGATATGGGTGGAAATACTGGGCCCTTAAGACGCTGAACGGCAGATTGTGGAAGGTCAGTAGTTCAGCAGTTCGAGACCCGGGAGCTCCCGTCTCTAGTTCCAGCTCCTGCCAACCTAGCAGTTCGAAAGCAAGAAATTGCAAGTAGATAAATAGGTACCACTTTGGTGGGAGGGTAACAGCGTTCCGTGCGCCTTGGTGTTTAGTCATGCCGGCCACATGAC